CTACTGCCTCCTGCTGGTTGATTTGGGGACTGTAATACTGCCGCTGAGACGCTCGTACTTGCTTGTTACCACATGCCATCCGGCCACAATAAGAGACCGGCCATTATTTACCTCCGCTGACTCAGACACCGGCCAGAATTGGAGACCCGGCCTTTAATTGAATACCGGCCTGTATTAGAGGATTTACGGTATTAATTTTTACCTAACAACCACCACCAACACAGGCAAGTTGGGTGAAGTGTCTTGCCCAAGGACACAACAGGAGAATACCCCTGGTGGGAGCTGGAATCAAACCCATGACCCCAGGGCAAGATTAACACTTTGTTGTACCTTGGGCAACAATATTCAAGGCCCCATCATCACGACCCAAGGATCACCATAATATGGTCATATACAGAATATTTTACTGTAATATGCAGTAAATATATACTCAATACTTGAATGCCTGACGTCACGTAACCCGCTCAGGGTAACCTTTGACCCACCTCGTGTGGAATGACCAATGAGGAGAGGGTCTTAACTTGAGGCCCTCTCTTCATTGGTCAGTCTGCATGAGACTGATTCTCAACCGCTCTCAACTGACGTTCAAAGTCATAGGCAGCGAAGCATCTCTGTGCAGCGCAAAAGCCCGGGTGGACAGTTTGTTTAATATAGGGTGACCATATTTCCATTTCCAAAAAAGAGGACAGGGGATCTGTGCCTATGACGTCAAACTATGGCAACGCCACACAAATCACGTTGGGACCCATTTTTTTGTTAGAACAAAAATTAATATCAGATTCTGCCAATAAAAGGGCTTTAAAACAATTCATACCGTACATCCTCTAATACAGGCCGGTATTCAATTAAAGGCCGGGTCTCCAATTTTGTCCGGTGTCAGAGTCGGCGGAGGTGAATAATAGCCGGTCTCTTATTGTGACCGGGTGGAATGTGGTAACAAGCAAGTACGGGGGGCGGTTGTGTCATCGTCTCACTTTTGATTTGCCAGTGATAGACCGCGAGGGTAACTTTAACCGTGAGGAGGCGAAAATTTGATATCAAGTTCAAAGAGAACGTGCTGATTATGCTGCAGAACACTCTGGGGAGCAGTAGCAGGGGTTGTATGAACTAGTCGACTTCACTATAGTGACTTTTTATGCCAGTCGTCGACTAGTCGCTGTCACGTGATAATGACCGGCAAGATGCAGCCCTCATAAAAGACAGCAGCCTGCTGGGGGGGGGGCAAAGCGCTGTGCCAGAGCATTCGGTACTGACACGCGATCATTCATGTCGGTTCATTTCCTTTCATGTTTTCTGTCTTTTATTTGCGCCTGATGTGTTTCGCTGCTGTGGAGCGGGGCACATCACCTTGTCCTCCGGTGACGCACGGATCACTGATGCGGCCGCCAAGCAGGGAGCACTCCTCTGTTTTTGCGGTCGGTAGATCTTTTAGAACTGCAGTTCAAAGGTAACTCATAAGGTGAATATATATGAACCCATGTAGCAGTTTTTCTTTAGGATTGAGAGGAGATGCAGGAAGATAATAAACAGGCAGGACAGAAAAATAGTCAAATAAAAACAAGTTAGTTTTTGAACCTGGTGGTTGCAACAAACAGACACCACTTAAGGTAATCAGAAGTGAGGAACAGAAAATGAAATAATTATTTTAATGTTTAGAGCAGAAGGAACACTGAGAGGCTGCAGGCGCATCAGTGAGTTTGCAGCCACTGCGCAGGGGGGGGGGGAGAGGGCTGAAGCAGAAACTACCGTTGTTAAAAGAAATGTGTTTATCTTTGAAAATGTGGGCGCAATTTTAATTGTCAAAAACTCCAGCGAACCATTAGTTCATTTTGCTCAAATAGAAATAGAGGCCTGCCTCTAATACTGCCCCCTTCCAATAAAGGCCTGGAGCTTGATGAGCTTGAGTCAAATACAGGCCTGGGCCTGTATTAGAGGATTTACGGCATGTAAATATTCTGCATATTTATTGCAAAATCTAATTTTTCTGCTTTAGTGCTGCAACAAGGTTTTATAATAATTTCTTATTAATACCTTTTGTTTTACTACAGCATCGGTACGCTTCCTGTGCACAGATTATTAAGGATGCTTGTTTCAGCTGTGAGATTAGACGATAGGATCAATGAAAAAATAAGTTGTCCCACACTCCATGGAAACTTTCAGAGAATCCACAAATAGTGGCTTTCAAATGGTTTTGTTACTTTTTGTAAGTTTAGAAAAGAAGCAGATGAGACAGCATGTCTGATAATTTAGTTTTTCATCTGATAATATTAGAACATGTCAGTGATGTCTGAGGGGTTTTTACAAACACTGTAGAATTAACACTCCTGGACAGGGTATGAATTACACAGAGGTTTCTGGGGAGCCCAGTTATAGGGGTAGGCAGGGGCGGCGTTAGGCCCGGCTACTTGGGCTCAAGCCCCGAATGTTTTATGAAAAGCCCCGGATCTAAAACGTGGAAGTAACATGCAGTACCAAAGTCCAACAGAGAGGGAGCAGCTGGCAGTAGTTTGTATACAACCTGCCTGAGCCTCCACCACTGAAGAAGCCCTTCAGCAGCCGGCTTCTTCTACAGTCTCTGCCTGAAACCCATGTGTAAAGATGGACATGAGGAAAAATTTGTAGGCAAAAGGTACTGCGACAGAACCCCAGCTTTGATGATACTGGTGTTGACTCAGGTTTGAGAGTCTTATTTGAAAATATTTGTGATTTGTAATATATATGATGTTGACTAGTGTGTGTCACGTGTGTGTGTGTGCGCGCGTGTTTAGCCCCGGATCTTCTTCAGTCCTAAGTCCACCCCTGGGGGTAGGGGGTGTTATGTTTTGCCTTGGCCCCCACAATGCCTTGAAACGGCCCTGGGTGTGTGACTGAGTTTTGAAGGTGATCTGAATTGTATCAGATGTATAAATATTACATGTGTATAATAGGGGTTGTATGAACTAGTCGACTTCACTGCTCTGTAGTGACTTTTTTTGCCTGTCATAGACTAGTCGCTGTCACATGATAATGACCAACAAGATGCAGTCCTCGGAAAAGACAGCAGGTGATGAGCCCCTGTGCGTCGGGAGGCGACACACTGTGCCAGAGCGTCGGTACTGACACCCGCCATAAAACGGACATTGTGACCTTTACCCTGTTGCAATTTAACCTTCCCCTCACCCCCATCCTAATCTTAACCAGCTTGCACATGCAAAGCTCCGATCATTGACATGCTCCAGACATCTGCGTCCTGAGCACGGCCACAGTAACATTATTAAATCAGGTGTCGCCACCTCAAAAACAAATTTAACACACGATCGTTCATGTTGGCTCATTTCCTTTTATGTTTTCTGTCTTTTATTTGTGCCTGATGCATTTCGCTGCTGTGGAACAGAGCGCATCACCTGTTTTGTCCTCCGGTGACGCACCTCACTGATGTGGCCGGCGCACACTCCGCTGTTTTTGCGGTCGGTAGATCTTTTAGAACTGCAGTTCAAAGGTAACTCATAAGGTGAATATATATGAACCCATGTAGCAGTTTCTCTTTAGGATTGAGAGGAGATGCAGGAAGATAATAAACAGGCAGGACAGAAAAATAGTAAAATAAAAACAAGTTAGTTTTTGTACCTGGTGGTTGCAACAAACAGACACCATTGAAGGTAATCAGAAGTGAGGAACAGAAAATGAAATAATTATTTTAATGTTTAGAGCAGCAGGAACTCCGAGAGGCTGCAGGCGCATCAGTGAGTTTGCGGCCGCTGCGCAGGGGGAGGGGGGAGAGGGCTGAAGCAGAAACTACCGTTGTTAAAAGAAATGTGTTTAACTTTGAAAATGTGGGCGCAATTTTAATTGTCAAAAACTCCAGCGAACCAACCAACCCCCCGCCCCCGCGCCGCTTCAGGTGTATGACGTCATCAACGACTAGTCAAAGTCGACTCGATTTTCATTACTTGACTGCCGACTTTAAAAGAATCAAGTCATGCAGCCCCTAGTGTATAACTCATTGTTTAATACAGGTAAAAACGTGTAGTGGGGATAAATCTACCTACATTTAACTTTTCAACACAATGTTTTCTTGTTTTTATTTAACTATTTTCCTGTCCTGTCTGTCTCTCATCTTCCTGCATCTCCTCTAAACTCTCCAGAATAACTGCTGCCTGGATTCTTACTTTTTCACCTCATCAGTTACTTTTGAGCAGATCAAAGGGATCTCCTGACCGCAAAGAGGAGAGCGCGTTTCGATGCTGCGTCAGTGAGGTGAAATCACTGCAGCACAGGTGATGAGCTCCGCAGTAGCAGAGCGCTTCAGGCACAAATAAGACAGAAAGTAGAGAACACATGCGGACATGAACGATTGTGTGTTAATTATAGTTTTTTGGTTGCACCACTTTGAGAATGGACCGTGTGCTGGACACAGCTGCCTGAGCGCACCAACAATCTCTGTGCTCTCCGCTCAAAAGAACCCCCGGTACGCTGAAAGCACATAAATTATGTAATGTAGGTAGAAACGTTTTTTCTGGCCCTCCCTGGATGTGTAGGATATCCAGCTCCCCATAATTTGATCCCTGCTTCTGGATGAAAAACCGGACATTTTCATTACTGTACAATTCATTACTGGACATGGTACTGGCTGGTCACAACGTATCAGCAGTGAACCAACATCCTGATGCCTGGAAAGTGTGTTCTGTTGTTGCACTACTACCTCTGAACACTACATGTTGCTATAATATCTGTTCCATATTCAACCTTTAAATTAGGGGTATATAATTCCGGGCCTGGAAGGTTGGTATTCAGCAAATTTTTGTGGTTTCACTGCTCCAACACACTTGATTCAGTGGTTGAATCACCAGTGCAGCAGCTCGTCAGGCTCTGCAGATGCCCGTTAATCACCTGCTGATTCAAATCAGGTGTGTTAAAACTGAAATGTGCTGGATATCGGCCCTCCAGGCCCAGAATAGAAAACACTGACTTTAATGCAGTGGTGTTTTTTTTAGCTAAGGAATACTGCCATGACCAAAGGGGAGTGTCACACACTGACTTGGAGGAGGTAATATTCAGATTCTTAATGTTATAGTATGTTTTTCACATCTGAATTTGTTTCATAACAGAAATGATTACTTTATTCTATAAATTGACCTACATATTCACAGAATAACTTTTTTAACTTATCTTCTACACTCAAACTTTTCCATATTTAGCTTCTTTCCAAAAATCTTTTTATATTGTCTGAACAGGTTTTACTTTCGGACCCAGAAGAAGGCCCATCACCATCTATCCGTGCCATGGAAACTACATGCTACAGGTATTATTTCCTCTTTATATAATGCTTGAGAAGACATTATCCACAGTGTATACCGTAAATTCTCTAATACAGGCCCGGGCCTGTATTTGACTCAAGCTCATCAAGCTCCAGGCCTTTATTGGAAGGAGGGCCAGAATTAGAGGCAGGTCTCTATTTCTATTTGAGCAAAATGAACTAATGGTTCGCTGGAGTTTTTGACAATTAAAATTGCGCCCACATTTTCAAAGTTAAACACATTTCTTTTAACAACGGTAGTTTCTGCTTCAGCCCTCTCCCCCCTCCCCCTGCGCAGCGGCCGCAAACTCACTGATGCGCCTGCAGCCTCTCGGAGTTCCTGCTGCTCTAAACATTAAAATAATTATTTCATTTTCTGTTCCTCACTTCTGATTACCTTCAATGGTGTCTGTTTGTTGCAACCACCAGGTACAAAAACTAACTTGTTTTTATTTGACTATTTTTCTGTCCTGCCTGTTTATTATCTTCCTGCATCTCCTCTCAATCCTAAAGAAAAACTGCTACCTGGGTTCATATATATTCACCTTATGAGTTACCTTTGAACTGCAGTTCTAAAAGATCTACCGACCGCAAAAACAGCGGAGTGCTCGCTGCTTGGTGGCCGCATCAGTGATCGGTGCGTAACCGGAGGACAAGGTGATGCGCCCCGCTCCACAGCGAAATGCATCAGGCGCAAATAAAAGACAGAAAACATTCAAGGAAATGAACCGACATGAACGATCGCGTGTTAAATCATTTTTTGAGGTGGCGACACCTGATTGTTACTGTGGCCGTGCTCAGGAGGCAGATCTACCGACCGCAAAAACAGCGGAGTGCTCCCTGCTTGGCGGCCGCATCAGTGATCGGTGCGTCGGAGGACAAGGTGATGCGCCCCGCTCTACAGCAGCAAAACACATCAGGCGCAAATAAAAGACAGAAAACATCAAAGGAAATGAACCGACATGAACGATCGCGTGTCAGTACCGACGCTCTGGCACAGCGTGCTGCCGCCCCGAGTGCAGGAGCTTGTCACCTGCTGACAGCAGGCTGCTGTCTTTTCCGAGTGCTGCATCTTGCCGGTCATTATCACGTGACAGCGACTAGTCGATGACAGGCATAAAAAGTCACTATAGTGAAGTCGACTAGTTCATACAACCCCTGCTACTGCTCCCCAGAGTGTTCTGCAGCATAATCAGCACGTTCTCTTTGAACTTGATATCAAATTTTCGCCTCCTCTTCGTCTCCGCACAGTTAAAGTTACCCTTGCGGTCTATCACTGGCAAATCAAAAGTGAGACGATGACACAACCGCCCCCCCGTACTTGATTGTTACCACATTCCACCCGGCCACAATAAGAGACCCGGCCGTTAATTGAATACAGGCCTGTATTAGAGGATTTACGGTATTTATATTTAATTTTTTTGAACAGCAAGTACACAGAACTCTATGCTCCAATTGTAGCAGAGAATCAGGAGGATTCTAGCAGTGAGGAGGGCAGTACACATTCTCAGAGGGATGCAGAGTAAGACAAAATGTTCTATATTATTACTTTGGTTATGCAATCATGCATATATATATATATATATATATATATATATATATATATATATATATATATATATAATGTATAGATAGATAGATAGATAGATGATAGATAGATAGATGATAGATAGATAGATAGATAGATAGATAGATAGATAGATAGATAGATGATAGATAGATAGATAGATAGATAGATAGATAGATAGATAGATAGATAGATAGATAGATAGATAGATAGATAGATAGATAGATAGATAGATAGATAGATAGATAGATAGATAGATAGATAGATAGATATGAAAAGTAACATGACAATGATTTGTGTTGTGATAGGATGCAACAACTATCTGTATCAGAGGTCATTGCAAACCTGGCTCTTCAGATTGATCGTCACTCAGTCAGCAGATTTAACATTTGCCGCTCTGACATTTGGGATGGAGCTGTGAGAGGATTTAAAAGAAGCACATTCTCTGCAGAAAAAGACCGTATTGTAAAGTTTTCTGATGATGGAGGCAGGTTGGAGGATGGTCTTGATACAGATGGCCCCAAAAGGGAATTCCTCTCTATACTAATGAAAAGGCTGAACCAACGACCCATATTTGATGGTCCTGAAAACAGACGCTACCTTGTCTACAACTCTACAGGTACACCAGTGGGTAATATTTTAAGTTAAATGACATTTAACCAATCAAATGAACTGTAGTGTAATATGGCAACCAATTTAATTTTTCATTGCTTTTAATTTCCCTGAGCAGCAATCAGAGAGGATGAATATGGTTTGGCAGGGAAGATGATATCTGTGTCCATTGTTCATGGTGGATCTGGCCCAAACTTTCTATCGGAGGATCTAGTCAACCACATCCCGGCATTCCAGTTTCAGTGCATCTATAGGGGACATAACTGATCAAGAAATAGGGAAAGTGCTACAGCAGGTAGGGTTATTGACATTTGGGTACAGGAGACATTTTATTAAAGAAAGCAGCTTTGTTTACTTTTAACATGATTTCTCACGATGTTGGTATTATCTATTTCTAATCAGTGATAGCCACCTTGTTTTTAGATTGAAAATGCATCTTCACTGGAGAACCTACAGGACCAGATGGTACAGAACAGCACCATGTTGCAGACTGCTGGTTGTTTCAGACGTGTTTCGTCGTTGCAGGAAAAGCACTCTGTGATCAAGGATTACCTTAGGTGGTATATCCGAGACAAGAATCACAGAGCTATTGAAAGGTACTATTATCTTACTGTAGGAAAAGGATTTAAGTGGAAAACATGACGTTACTCATTAAAATTTAAAACCCAACATACTGGTGTGAATCCTCAGCCGCATCTCCAGTTCGACAAAAGTTCAAAGTTCCCCATGGCAAATACGTGTGCTAACACCCTGAAGCTGCCCCTCTTAGACAACTACAACACTTTTAAAGTGAACATGAACTTTGGAATCAAGAATTCACCTGGTTTTGGGTGCTATTGAAATATAGATTTGAAAAATGCCAAAGATTAAACATGTTGGTACGACAGGTGAGACTGTCAGGATGTAAACAAAACTAAGAATCTGGAATAGAAAAAATTCAACAGGATTTTCACACTGTAACTGTTTGGTTTCCGTTTCTATTACATGTTTAAGATAACTAAATGTTAATGTGAACACTTTTAAAGATTTTCACATAAATTTCAAAGTTCTTGAGGTAAAAAATCTTAGATTTGTTGATGTAGTTTTGTTAGAGCTATAAAGAACAAAATAAAAACAGAATGGCCGGACAGTTTATTTTTTTACTTTTCCACATGAATACCACAAATATTTTAATAAAAAACAAAGATTTTCTGATGAAAATATATACATCAAAAGACTGCTAAATGGTGTCACAACAATCAAAAACATTGCAAATTAAAATACAATTGAGGTTGAAAAAAATGCAAATAATATCATGTCTTATCTATTTTTCCAACAATGTTAGCAGCAGAGCATAGAGGTGAAAGGAATTTACTAACACACTATATTCTAAAACATGGCACCAGAATGGTCTGGAAAACTAGATCATTAGCATCACTACATCAAGACCAGCTGTGTCAGTGGCCGTGTTCGAGTTGAGCTGCGCCTCGCCTGGGAAACAGACGACGGAAGCAGCAGGGGGAGTGGCTGAAAGCCGGCGTTTAAGTCGGACACAATTTCCTGCATGTGTAGCTCGGGGGTGACGATGGCTGAAGATATCGCGTTAGCGTTCATACTTGTTTAATTTTCCATTTTAATTCTGGTGCCTGTTAGTAGCTGAAACACATCCTCATGTGCTTGTGGATATCATATATTGTATATGAAGACATGACTGTAATAATAAGTAAAGGTTATCAGCTGTAGGTTCAGTGTGCTCATAGGAAACGTGACAAAAGAACACAAATCGCATTTCTCTTTATGGCCTATATAGTTGTCATCATCAACGTTACATGATTTACAGAATACATGTGACCAACTAACATTTGATGTTTTACCACCAGATGTTCGGATCAAAATATGAACCAATCAGATCTTAGATCAGGTGAGAGCCAGGCGTTTCCCATCATCCCCTAGGTTTTGCAGCCGAGGGAGAGCAACTGCAGTGCCTTGCTCCAAAATCTGCGGCCACCTTGATCTCACGAGGTTATCGTTGCCTACGTATGCATGACGTCAGAGCAAGTCGGCGTCAAGTCGGACACAAATCTAACCGGCATGCACTGCGCGCTGATCACCGCTGATCTATGCGCAGAACTGGCTCATCTCGAACACAGCCAATGTAAAGTATGGGTGGTTGAAGAATATAGATGAGCCAATGCCCTTGTAGAACTGGTCCTGTTTTCTGTACTGAAGAGATCACTAAATCAATTTATTGTAGCTTAATTGTCCTTTGGCCCACTTTTTTATTTATTTTTTTACATTCACATTTACAGATAAAGGTGTTGCCCTTTTATCTTCTGCTGGTTTGAGAGATCATAATTTGTGTCTCCTAGATGAGGGGTTTGGAAAATGCAGTTCCAGAGATAAAAATAGTACAAGAGAGAGTTTGATGCATATTTTTGAAAAACACGGTCTTTGATTTCACATATTTATTTACTCTTATTTAAATCCTTTGAATACATTTTCATTTGACAATAATTTTTTAATAGTCCAAGTTTTTTTTTTATAAGCTGTCTAAGATCTCACCAGACAGGTTATATTATAATTCTGCCATGTTCTTCAAGGTTAAGTAGTTGTCTACAGCCGACTCCCATCATAGAGGACGTGGCAAACCACTTTGTCTCTGCAGTCCCTCAAAGCATTTTGCTGATCATCCTTGACAACAGGAGATGATGGTGCTGGAATGAGGCTTCGAAGCTGGTTCAGGGTATGTGTAGATGATGCAAATCCACAATTATTTGCATTAAATCTGGGAAGAAATAAAAAAATGAAATATTGACATTAATTATCTATTGGCAAGTTACAATCTTTTCCCATTTCAAATAAAATTCTAATTCAGATGCAAATGATCTGATTTCCTTGTTACAAACAAAAAAAATTACCAAATACAGAGGCAAAACTACAATGTTAAAGCTATAATACATAGCTAAGAAGTTGCAGGGGTTGGGAACACTGGTAAAATCTTTTTGTTTGCATTTAAGATCAGCTGCTTCTCGAAGTTGGCATCTCCCAGTCTGTTTCTCCTGGGCCTTAATCAAACAAAACAGGAAAGAACAAAAGAACATCATGACCATTATAAAATAATTTGACCAAAGAAATATATGTATTTAAAGATTGTTGAATATAACAGTTTATGATTACCTGAATATTAGGCCACCAATGCTGAAGAGCCTCTCTACTGGGGTGCTTGAGGGCAGTGCAGTGTTGTGCTTTATGAACAGTCTTTTGAGCTTTGGAAACTGCATATATCTGTGGTTGGGGCATCCAAGTAGGTGTCTACTTGGCCTTTTCCAGAAACCTGAGGTTTTCTGTGAAATCTAAAGAATGAAGCAGCAGGATCTTTCGTGTTTACTTCACTACTGAATTGGGCTTGACAGGAGTCTCCTGGTACTGAGTCGTCCAAGCTGAGGGTTTGAAATTCTCTCATTAGCATTAATTTGTAATGCACACGTTTCTGTTCATCTTGGACCCAGTCTAGCTTGAATCTTGGCACCAGAATAGCAGAGTATGTTCTTTAGTGATGTGTCGGTCGTGAACGAACCGGCTCTAAGAGCCGGCTCTATGAAGTGAACGACGGGAGCTGGCTCGTCATTGGGAGCCGTCCCCTCCCCTCCCCCTCCCCTTTTGCTTTGGTGAAAGCTACAGGCGATTGGTCAGCATGTGTAACTGCGTGTCCAGACTATCCACACACAGAGCAGTAGGGGCGGGGAAGAGGGAGGATAAGACTCAGACACACAGCAGAGCACATGTGGGAGGAGGGAGACGAGAGGGAATGAGGAGGAGGAAAAAGGCGAGAGAGAGAGAGAGGGAGAGGAGAGTGTGACGAAGACGGTGAGAAAATGAGCGCCAGCAGTCGGAAAGTGGAGATTTCTGAAAGTGTTCAGTTATTAAATCCATAGAAATGATAAATATTTGATATATAGCATTTTTTTTACATTAGTAAATCATGTTAAACATAGTTTTGCATTATTTTGGTTATAAATGTACTCTACGCAACAGAAAATCTGAGGAGCCACTTGGGAGCCGAAAGAGCCGGCTCTTTTTGGTGAGCTGAGCCAAAAGAGCCGGCTCTCTAAAAGAGCCATAATTCCCATCACTAATGTTCTCCCTCTTCTCCAGAAGATCTCCCAGCCTCGTGGTCAGTGACTTCAAGATGCTCTCTATGAGGGGACAGCATATAATCAGGCCCCCTGCAGTTGTGGGTTTCATGCTCTCATACAACAGGTTATTCATATGGCACTGGAGCTGGACAATGGTTGGAGCCAGCAGCCAAGAAAGATGTTCTTCTGTGCTTGAAGGATGTTTAATGCAAGTGCTAGGGGCCTCATCAAATCTACAAAGTTGTGTATGAACTGGACTTCATGTGGAAGGAATCGATGGAAGTCAAACTCATCACTCACAGTGTGCAAAATCAGCTCATCGTGTAGGGGAGTGGTCTCATTTTCAGCAGTGACCTCAGCCTCCTTAATTTCCACCTTGGTAGATAGTGTTGCTATGCGAGACAGTCGCTCCATCGCAAGATATGCAGAGTTCCATCTTGTGTCATTTGGCACAACAAATCCAATCCCAAGCTTTTCCTCCACAACGTCAGACGCCTTTGGACTTCGTTTAATCCGGTTCCACAGAGCAGAAGCTTTTGCAAAAACAGCCCTTGACATTGTTTTGTAGCGTTTTTCAGTTATCTTTTCATTATCTTTGGCCACAAGATTCAAGGTGTGACTCATGCACCTTCTATGAGGGGGGAGGCAGGGATGATCCAGACCTGAGAGGGACAGAGGCTCCATCTGGTCATCTTCATCTGAACTCTCACTTTTAGTAGCAGAGGAAGACTTAAGTTCCTCATCATCTTCACTTTTTGTTCTAAAGTAATCCTCTGTTTCTGGCTCCTCAGGGTCAACAGCAACATCCATTCCAAAACAGTTGAACGCCTTGACAATATTAGCAGCATTGTCAGTTACTGTACAGACAACCTTGTTGAGGATTTTGAATTCTTTGTTAATATCGGAAATTAGTTTTGCCAACACATCATGTGAATGTGCCCCTTTAATACGTCGACATGCCAGTACTGCGGAGCGTCTCTTAGAAACATCAGTTTTGTTCAGCCAGTGGATAGTGATGCCCATAAATGCTTTGTTCACAGCTGACCAGCAATCTGCAGTTGTGCACACAATATCACCCTCAGAGAGTTCAGTCTTAAGTTCAAATATATTTTCCTCAAATTTCGAGTTTAGCAGAGCTTATATATTTTTTCTGGATGGCACCTTTTTGGATGGTTGCAACCCCTTGATTAAGTTTAGGAACGCGGGGCTTTCCACTGTTCTTAAAGGCTGCAGGTCTCTGATGACATACTGC